TATTTTCTCCCCATTTTTCTCACCTGAAATTATTATTTAAAGTTGACCAGAATAAAAGGAATGAAAGAATTTGCAAGAAATGCCACTTTTTAACAAATGTGCTGTTTGTAAATAACCACTAATACGAAATTCACTCAGTTCTGACAGGAAACATTTGGTTTGTGATAATTTCTAAAGTAGCCTTGCTCTCTTCTCAACATCTGGAACTGGAATTATTTTATTCACTTTTTAGGGGGGGCATAATGAAATAGAAAGAAAAAAATTGCTTCTAAGGGAAGAAGCAAGTAATTGCAGAAAGATTTGATGTTTCTTGGAAGCAAAGGGTAGGTAAGAGGGTTGTAATCAATTTACAGAGATGCCTATCAAGCTTGAACTAACAACACAAGACATGAAATCTGACACTAAAAGCATAATATAAACAAGGTAGAATAGCAACTACACCTTGGCAGCAGGAAATGACATGCTTTGGAAAGACTGAATTTATGTTAAAAGTAATGAGATAGTCTGCTATTTTAACAAATTGACATTTATGACTGAATAGCATCATTCGAAGTTCAAAGGGAATCTATGTGCAGTAGATTTACTTACTTTGGGGAACGAAGATAAAGATTTCTACTAGATTAGTACTAAAAAGAAAAAATGTGCCATGCTCTACAAATGCCTTCAGCTGGTCACTGAACCTAGATGATACTCCAGACAGTTTGGGCAAGTGAGGAGAACATTTAGAGAAACCATCATAATCTGGGTCATAACGGAAGAACAAAACTAGACCTGAATGTTGAGTGCTAACACCCAAAAAGATCTAATTTAGATAAATTAATAAAAGCAATTAGAAAACTCAAAAGCAACCAATACCTCAAGGATTTTGATATTAGAGAAGCTGGAGAATCTTTAAATCAATGATTAAAAGTTAAATGGAACTTACCCTCAACAATAAAAGCAGAGGGAAGAGGTTGGAAGCAACCATGGTGGAGCTAACCCAAAAGTCAGGGCTGGGAAGCCCAAAACTAAAGCGAGAAATATCAGCTAAATTAAAAATTGCTAAGGAAAATAAAGAGCGGGATGTTCTTCAGCTGTACAAATAAGAAGGAACCAAGAGAAAAGAAATGATGCCACTATGCCAAGTGGAGTTCAGATAAAAATAATTCAGATATACCTATAAAACTAATGGCAACTATTTACCTCAGCTATTTGATAACATGGAAGTAAACTTAGGGTAGCAGAGTGATGCAGTGGGAATATAAAATACCATTTCTGGGTACAAAGAAAAAACTTCTGTCAAAATAGTTAAGCTGCCCATAAACAAATTCAGGTTGCAAAAAGAAATCATCTTAAGTAGCAACAAAACAAAATCCTCTAGTATACTGTGTCTTTCCAAAGAACACAGCACTGAGACCCTGATATCCTAGTTTTGGATTAGTGAAACTACTCGTCATGGGGAAGTTACACTAAGTGCATTCTCAGGACAGGCACCCACATTTAGACCAATGCACAAGAGGATGACATGAAAATAGGAGGAAAAATGGTTGTATGCAGAGCAATGCACAGAATTCCCAGGTTGTCAGTAGCCCAGGACTTGCCCAGTGCTTCTGGATTTTGAAGAGCTCACCCAGGAGCCCCAGAAATTAGGGGAAAAAGCTTCACATTTCATAAAAAATTACCTGGTCAAACTCTTTGTACCATATAAATACCTTAATTTAGGTTCACCTATCTCCCCAGACTCCCTGTGTATTCAGTAGAGAGAATCAGGCATTTGGGATAAGATTCAGCTGATCTGTTTTAGCTGTAACACTTTCATCAGAAATGCTTGCTTCTCTTTGCTAATCTAAGACAGACTATGGCACCCACATGGGGAGCCCATGGAGACCTTCAGGTAAGCACCTGAGCCATAACACAGGCAACTTGCACAAGCTTCAACAAGTCCCATCAGGGGACACAACAGAGGCAGCCTTGACCACTTCAGTACAGGCAAGCAGAGGAAATCAGAAAATGCTTCATCAGAAATAAGAACACTTGTTTTATTATCCCCACTTCCTTGGCTTTTTTCCTGCTATAAAATCATCATGTGTTTGTACAGTATTCTTATTCTGGGAATGTCTTTTGGTCCACATAAACATCTGCACTTAGTTACATTAGCCAGTATCCAAATCTCAGTGAGATCCTGCCCTGATTATTTTGTTCTGAATGTTTTTGCCAGCTTCTATTCCCAGAACACCCTGGATTTATAGCTATGTCCAACCTCCAGCTTTGCTGGTTAGAATATTTTAACACACATGTTCAAACTGAATGCCTTTTGTACTAGGACAAAGCCTTTCCAGTAGGCTTAAGTAATAAACCATTAAATTGTGCTAGCATATTTCATTAGCAGCAGGAAAGTGAACTATTGTTGGATACATTTTGCTGGTCTGTATTTTTAACCATACTGTTTGACCTACGTCTTTTGTCCAATTTCCTTAATGTCCAGCCATAAAATATGACCCTAGATTCAAATACCAAGAGAACCTGTTGTGGCAATTTTGCCTAACTCAGTGTAAAACAATCCAGATTTGGAGTAAATAAACCAACTAGCCTTTTTTGGGATCACTGTGTGTTTTTGTCTGCTGCCCTGTATAGCTAGATCCAAAACATTAATAAAAAATAAATAGGCAGTTTCATCTGAGAAGACAAACAAAACCACACAGGATATAAATCAAAACAAGGATTTGTAAAAGAGTAGAGTAAGCACTTGTTGAGCCAAAAATATACTGTTCTTGTGAAGAACTCTGCTCTGACCACTGTGCTTTCTCCAATGTATGTTTCTGGAGTTCCAGGCCAGAACATTTTTGGAGCATAAAGACATGAAACATTCAGATCCCAGCAAAATTCACTGTCATCTGCCTAATTCTTGTGGAGCTGAACTTCGCCACAGTTGTGCACCAGCTTAACTTCACCCCTGTAGCTTCTAGGGAATTATTCACTGCTGTGTAAGGCTTATTTTACGTGACTGATGATTGCCTCAAACTGTGAATATGCTAATTAATAAATACTTCAGCTGACCTCCTACTCTATCCTCCCAAGATACAATCTGAAAACAAATTTTCTGCCTTTCTTCAAGCAATAAAACTGGTTTGGGATACAATTCCTTTGTATCTGGTTTGAACCTCCCAGCCCATGCTGAAATGTATCTGCTTTGCTTTAGTGTGTGAAAACACACGTGCTAGAGAAACAAAAGCTTCAGGAAAAAAAACAGCAAAAAAAACTTAAAATATAATTAAATCTTTTGAGGTGAAATACAAGTGATTTACCCCTGTCAACCAATGTAATCTCATGTATCATCCATTCTTATTTTCCCCTCTCAAATCCCAGCTCCTGGGTCTGAGCAAGACAGCTTTTTTGGCTCATGGTGCCCCTCTGAAGCAGGCAGAGATGAGACATGTCCAGCTGCTGGCAGGACCAGGTTCAACTGTTTCCCATTCCCTCCAGCCACTCACTCCTGAGAAGGGCAAACACAGCAATTTTGTTCTGGGAGTGGAGAGGTTGTGTCAATGCACACATTTTGAAGACTGCTGTCATTTAAGCACTGCCCCATTCCCCTTGTTGACTGGCCCAAAGTTGCAGCCCTCCATCACAGCCCCTGTCCAAGAGGGGAGCCAGGGCCCTCCTTCTCCAGTTCCAGCTCCAAAATAGCCCCCTCTCCCCAGGATTTTATAGTCAACTAAAATATCTGGTCAAGACACAGAGAACAGGTGATTTATGCATTGTATCCCCGCCAGTATCAGTGATTCCAGTGTCCAGAAATGCATAAACCTACCTCAGAAAGAATGCATAAACCTACACCAGGAAAATACCATGTTTAGAATTTTGTCTAAGTGTTTTTAAGCATACAATGTGTTTTTCTAAACCAGAAATAATCCATAAGAATGATGTCTGTGCAATTTAACAGAGTGGAGGAAACCCATCCCTGAATATCACCTGAACAACCTGGTCTTCCACAGTCCTGATAAATACATTTAGGGCATATAAACTACACACATACACACACACACACACATATACATTAAAAAGCTTGCACGCATAACTCCTGTCAAAGATTGTAACACTCTATCCTAAATATAAATTAATTATCTGAAATTTTTCCTAATCCTTTGCCTTGAAGGGTGCCAGAGTAAAACTTACTGATCCAAGGACTCAACCTTCCACTAGGACCATACCCCATTACTAGCCTTTATTCAAAACCCTTGACAGTATGCCTCCAATTCTTATTCTTACCTGCATACAGGCTTGGAAAAACCAATGCATTCTTTTTATAAAACAGATCTGCAGCAGAACTTACACATCTGGAAGAAGCTATTTTTTTTCTGCAGTATGCAAACACCCAGGAAATTCAGTATCAGTCATAACCTTGAGACAAGAATTTATTGCAACTAAATAACCAGTGTTGATTTGAAGTCACCATTACGTTTTTTACTACAGATACATAGTGGGGGGTGGAAAAGAACAGAGTCACCCTTAGCATAAAGATCCATCTTGCATTTCTATAAGTACATAAATTCTACAACATGTACTGGTACACAGTTCAAGGGCTCCTCTATGACAGCTCAGATATTCTACACTGTGCTAGAAGCAGGTTCTGTTGATGAGAAGACAAGCACCCAAGCGTTTGGTAGTGGCCTCTTCCATGTACTGAATCAAGAACATTCCCATATTATCATGGTTAAACCATGTCATGGGTTGTGCTTCCAGACCCCAGCTGTCCCTAAGACTGTCAATAAAGCTTACAGAGTAATAATATTAATAATAATGAAAATATATATAAATAAGAGACGATATGTCTTCTTCTGCCTCAGTTGCAATGACCTGAATCTTCAGTTACTAGAGAAAAGGAAACCCATTGTTTTTGATTGCACAGAAGAACTAGTCCTAGTTATTCTGGAAAAGCAAACTCTAAGTATCTCCTTGGTAGAGGGAGAAACAGGACACCAAAGATCGCACTCTATTTTAGGGGTAAAAATTTTATTTGACAAGTTAATAAAAAAGCATTTAATTAGTCAATTAAAACACTTTATTACAAGAAAGCGTAATCCAGTTATAGCTACCCTACATGAAAGTTAATTCTGAGGTGAACAAATTGAGAATTAGCAGTTTAGAATCTATACCTACATCTATACTGTATCTATTTTATTTTTAAAAGGTATTTTGTGCAATTAAAAATTTGTTAGATGTCAGACAACTTCAAAAACTAATATAGCAAACTTCAGAACTATTATTCTCAGATGACATCATCTTTTTTCAGAGATGATTGAAGTTTCCTCACAGTTTTTAGCAGCTGAAGAGAGCTTCTGCTTTTCTGCCCAGGACAAGATTTAGACTTACTTTCCTTTAGAGTGACTGCAATCTCTGTTGCTTCCTTTTGGTCACCACACTTTAGTTTGACATGAGTTGCTCTTTGCTTCAATTTCTGAGTTTTTAATTTCCGCACCTAGGAAGAAAGATAGCATGTTACATACTCCAAAGACCCACAACTGTAGAGTTTACGAGATTTATACCAAACTCCAAACTTCAGATGTCCAAGGAACATTAAAAAAAAACATTTAAACTTACTAATCTTGCACAATTGTCTTGCTTTAACAGAAAACTGATCTTACCCATACAGAAAGAATTACAGAAAACCAACCTCACCCACACCAAATAGGTTGTTGAATCCCATCACTCCCTAAGGTGAAAATGCTTGCTTGAGAGAGACAGAATATCATCTGTTAGCAATCTATATTTACAATGGTCTTTTTCCATTTCAGATTGTACTACCCTAATAAAAAAAAAACAAACCAAAAAAGCAATAAACCTCTAAAATGTATACTGTTTCTTATTGGTTACTGTATCTAAGCAGCTTACTTTGAGGTCTCCCCAGCAAAAATGGAAAACAGAATAAATAGGGTTAATTGCTAAAGAATGTTTTTTTAAATGTCAAATTATAAGTCTTGACTTGCACTTGGTGTGAAAAGGTCACTTCCCAAAGATAAAATTAGGCTGGAAGCATTCCAAATGCCAATCTAGGCTTCAAGTCCATTTCTAAAAATAATGAACTTTAATTGCATTCTAGAACATAGTATTAACTGTGAAACACCGAGATGACTATGACATTTTCAGTATGACGGGTTCTAGAAGTAGAAATATACATCAGAAATATTAAGAGTGGTCTGTACAAAATACAGACCTATGTGCAAAAGCATCAGTATAGGCAAAGGAGCTATGGGAATGGCCTGTATTGATAACCAGGGCATGACAGACAGCAATTATACAGAAGTTACTATTTACATAATGACCCTAAAGGGTGTGCTCTGATAAGGCTGTACAGGAGCACAGATGACTTGCCAGAAGATCTGCACCCTGATAATAGGCAAGGATGACAACAAGGTTGCACCACATTGTACGTGCAAAACAAACACAAACTGTAGCCATGAAGATATGTAAAAGAAAGAAATAAAGGTGCAGTTGTCCACTTAGGTTCCTGGATGATGAACTCAGTAAGATTCTGAGGCAAGGAAAAATACCATAATTGTTGACTCCTCAAGAATATATGGGATTTATTCAAAAAACATTGACACTGCCAAGAGAGGCAACGAGGACTCAATCCATATTGCTAACATGCAACTCTGACAATTCTGCTTCGATATAAAGCACCTTCATGCTTGCAATTACATGGACAACAAAAAGTCTGAGTGAATAAAATCTATCACAGAATGAGCATGAATAAAATTGGTCAGATTTAAATTAAATTAACTATAACCTCCCCATTTCATAAGGCCTCACACTGAGTTTTGTTTTGTTTCCTATATAAGCAAAATTTCCAGGTGAATCTATCTATCCTGAAACATGAGATGGAAGAACAGAAAGCTATCAGACAGAACTACGGATTTAATTTTTAATCATATGTTCCAAAACAAATTGCTACGAAAGAGTCAAGCTGTTCATCTACAGAAGAGTGATTTTATATGGGTATGTATGAAAAGTTGTTATCTATGGCTCTAAACCAAATACTGACAGAATGTAGACAGGTTCAGGGTTAAACAAAACTGAAAGTTTTGTCTGGCTATGATTTTGGAGAACCTCTGGTCAACAGACTATTTAGTTAACAAGAAGCTTCAATATTTCAGAAATATAAAAGACATTTAATCCAGTCTGAACAGGAATTATAGCTTCTATTTTCTCATTTCCCAGAGGGACACAAAGGAATGAAATCTCAATAGTTTTTCTTAACACAGTGAGCAGAAGTGACAGACTGAGCAACCCACTCTGTATTGCAGAATGGACACAGGGCAGGAAGTTTTCCCACTAGCATACATTCCTAGCTGCCAGCTGTGAGCACTTTTTCTTGATCAAATGAAGGAATTGGGAGGTACAAGAACACGAGGTAGCAGTTTAATTACAATAACTCATACTGGAACACCCTGGCTCAAAACATTCCAGTGACATTCTAGCTGATGACAACAGGAGGTAGAGTTGTGGCAGCCTTTCAACTAGAATGTGACTAGCTAGAGACTTTTCACGTTATTCTTACAGTAGCTTGATGCCTTATCAGCTTGGATATTTGTTCTCCTTTAATCTCCATTTGTTTTACAAGGCAATCCAGCTCCTGTTCCAGGCCTTCATGAACTCGGGAATCTTGAGTCTCCTGTATCTGCTTCAGAAGTTCTTGATGCTCACTGTTAAAGACAAGAATGGCACGCTAAGTATTCATGATATAGTCCCTAGGATTTCTTTCAATACTTCCAGTGTATTGCAGGAGCTACTAGCTATTCTGTCTGGATTACAATTTAGCATTATTTACCCTCTCCCACAACACACATTAATCCGGTATATATTAACACGAGAAAAGGAAAAGCTTTTCCCATGCGTCTGATTTTCTCATTCCAAATTTGTAGCTGATGTCCACCTTATTTCTCCCTCTTCCCACAGACTTAACAACTACACATACAGTAGTGTACGTGAGATTTTTTAAAGCAAACAGCAGCTATGCAATGCAGCATTTTCACTTCCTGCCCGCCTTAGTGCAGATTTTGAAAGCTTAGCGTAGTACAGAAAAGTACTGTTTAAACTAGTACATTCAAGTTACAATTTTTCTGACAGATTACTCAAATTAAAATATTCTATTCTATTCAAAATTAAATTAACCGGCTTAACTAAAAAAAAATTGTGTAGATCTTCTTGATACTTAGATATCTGAACTAGTTGAAACCAGAGACCCTCTCCTACATAAGGCACTTCTTTACAAAAGTCACGGCTTCTTTCTGACTTCGGGTAATTGCTGCTCCTTGACAGTTTTATTGAAGCAACTGGTTGTTGTTATTAAAAAAAAAACCCAAAGCCTGTCCTTGAACTGCCATGAGTAAGCCAGACATTGTTTTTTGAAGATGAGGTTGCTTGCCAGCTTAAATTTTGCCACATCAAGGGTTTCAAATCACTGTCAACATCCTAACTGGTTTAACCAACACACCCTCCTCTGTGGTGTGTGTGCAAACCACAGCTCATCATGTCAACAGGTCTGCTATGACCAGCTACATAGCTTTGGCCCACAATTCTACAAGCTTGCATTAATCAGAAGATGCCTAAGAACACAAGTTGTGGTCCCCATTTACTTGCATGGCTAGAAAGATACCTACACTCCCATTTAATGCATTAGCTTCTTCCACACCCTGCCCATTTTCTAGCAGGAGACTGTTCCTCTTTCACAACCCCCTTACAGGACCAGCAAGTTCTCCTGCAACAAGCAAACAGTATGAAGGGCAGACTGAGCACAAAGACCCATCAGCTACGCATGTATGGAGAGAACACAGAGTGAGTACAAAGGAACAGGACAGATGATGTGACAAGACTATTCATGCCAGTGCTGTACTAACCTATTCCACCACCCAGACTGACTGCATCCTGCAGGCCTACTTAGTATTAACACCACCTTTGCAGTTTTGTCCTGAAGAACATTTTTGGCCTACTCTGTAAATCCCAGAGTATGCTTATAATTTCTTAAAAGCACATGCTTGAAAGATTTTTTGTTTGTTGCAGCTGTTAACTTCAGTAGCAGCTCATGTAAATACAGGATGTGGAAGCAGAAAAACCCAGATGAAAAGTATGTTGCTTGCTCACAAGACCAGTTAAACACTAGGAGAGAAAGAATTTTTTGAATCAGAAAAATCCTACCAGTCAAGCGTGCTCAGGTCATTCTGTCGAGGAGCAGTCCTACACCTAAAACAGGCTAGGCTCAACTATATATAGCACACCTGTAGCTTCTCAGGGCTACTGCTGAAGTCACTTTTACTCATAACACCAGGGATGAGTACTCACAAGCTCATTTGGCCCAGCTCATCTTGTGTGGCCAAGAGGTCTGAAAGACTTCTGTTGGCAGTAGGTGACGTGGCACACGATGATACATACTTTGGAAGGGCACTGTGTCTGCAAATCCCAGACGTAGCTCCTCTTTTTCTTTGTGATGAGATACATGGATTGCGATGCTTCATAATATGCAACACACTTTGTATGTTTGCACTGACAGAATGGCTGGAGCTGATGGACTTAAATAAGAATTATGAAGTGGTTTACAGAAGTAAATAACAATTACAGTAAAGAGACTTACTCAAACTGTAGATGCCACTTTAGTGAGAATGTTGGTTTCTACCCACCTTCCCAGCCACAAAAGGTAGTTCACCAGCCTTTACATGTAATTGTGAAAGGTGCATTTTCTTCATTGTAGGATTTGTCTGACATAAGAAAACATAAGACAAGAAATTCCAGTGTGCTGACCCAAGAGCACAATCTTAAACTTTATCTTTTTATTAAGTAAAATTCAAATAAACACACAGAGAAATGCATCACCTCAGTTTCCCTCTGGTTTTAAAAAAATAATTTCCCTCCTGTATGTGTAGTGAGTAAGACTTTGTAATAGCTGAGATGAATAAATTTTATTCCATATGCATGTAGCAGATAGTTTGACAATTAGGTTGACATTAAAGAAACTGAACCTTGCTTAAGTTTTCAAAACCACAGTTGCAAAATTTTGACTGATCTGCAACATGTGTTGCAAAATGAATTCTCTCAATTTCAGCAATCCCCTCAAAACACACCATCTTAAGATGCTGAGTTAAAACTCCTTTGGAAACTAATTTTGCCAGATAAACTGAGAGGCAGCTAAGAGAATGTGGGATGGCAGTAGGACTGTAACAAAGGTTATTGTCGAGATGGTAAGGGAAGGTTTTCCAGTGAGGTGCTAACAGCCCTAGTACCACTTTAATTATTGAGGGAAGGAAAGAAAAAGAAAAGGAAAAGAAAGGGAAAAAAAGAGTTATTTAGCACTATTTGTCACTTTGAAAATGGAGTAAAGTGCAGCAGATGAATCAAGTGCCTCTTACATCACTGTTTTTCACAAATTCCAATCTCTATGTGAGCCAGATGCTATCAGCAACAGTATGCTAATAAAATTTTTCATGTTACCTTCTTAGGTTTTTTCTTCTTCCCATTTTCATTTTCAGGTTCATGTTGAGATGTTGCTGAAGACATCAAAATTCTGTTTATATGAAATCCTGTTTGAAGCTGTGGGAATAAGCAAAAAAGAAAACAACCATTTAATGTAATATTAGAAGTCTGAAATATCATAGTTTAATTAATTCCCTCTTTCATGCATGGATAAGAACCAATTAAGGGAACTATTAACTGTCCTGCTTGGAAGGCATAAGCTAAAAACTGAACAGATTACTTGGAAGGCAGGGTGTTGGGCAGATCTTACAATGATGTCTTAGAATTCCTCATTTTCATATCCAGCTGCAGCAGCTGTATTTTTCCACCATGACAATAAGCAACTGAGATAAGCCAATTCTGCCACATGCTGGGGATCTGATCATAAAATCCAAATAATATGAACATTTGGCTTTGCAATCTGGGGACAAACTAAGCCTTTCTGTGTAACATTGAGGTCAAAGCTGCTGGACAATCATTAGACTGCTCTGTAGTTCAAAGTTGATATCAAGGCCCATGATAAACAGGATAATAATCATTCTCAACTAAACACAGGACAAGGACTTTGTTTTGGCATGTGTAACAGTTCTGGCTAAACAATGCTGGAGGTCCACCACTAAAGTGAGAATATTCTGGCTTTTCTGTCACCAAAAGGAAGTGAACCATGCCACACCCTGTGTTTCCCAGCCCAGATTCAACAGACCTAAATCCATTCTGCAGTGCACTAAGATGGCACCAATACTAGTTTGGGACTCAGTTTACTGGACTTAAGTCCTTTCTTGAGCAAATGTTAAACTACTGCTAAAGTCAGACTACCTGCTCTGGGAAAGTCATTCTTAGTATGTTTCTCAGAAGACAAAATCTCTGTTCTAGGCTTTCTGCTCTGCAGCAGCAAGCCATTTAAGCAAGAAACCCAAAAGCCTGCAAGTTTTCAAGTGTGTCATTCTGCTAGATTATGGAGGTAGTCAGACACCTGGGCTACAATCTGCATGTTATTTAAAGCTTGCTGGATTGATGAAAACCCATCATCCTTGGATGAGGTATAAAAACTGACAGCAGCGATGAATTAAATTAAGATGTCAGCTTTGTTTATGGCTAGGTTCTTTCAAAGTAACTCTTCAGCTCTACATTAACCCACCCCACCCCAAGGGAATCCCCTCACAACTGCTCTTTCAAATGGCTGCTACTTATCCACAAAGTGAGATTTGGAATGCTACTACATTGCCCCTTTAACAAAAGGTTTCTTTGATTTTGCTCTCTTCCAAAAATATTCCTCTCTCAGATGTATGGTGGCCCAACAAACTGATTATGGCTTCACAGAATAATGAATTATTCAAGATCTCATTTGATGAACAATCACTGATCAAAGATTTTTCCAAGTATAGATCTATTTCTAGGTACTGCAAATAAAGGTTATCTGATTTAGTTGCAGATTTTCTAGAAATTAATTTTCTACCTAGATCACTTAAAGCAGCATTTAGGCAGATGAACTGTGTCATTAATACAAACCCAAGTAGAATCTTCACTGAGATATGCAACACCCCTGGCAAGCTTTTCTAATATGTAGTTTATAACTAGTCTAAGAAGTATTGCTGGAGTTCTCCCTGGGTAATAAATATGTGGAGTTAAAATGTAATAAAAAAGAAGGTATTTTGGATGAGAGAATAGCTTTCTTCAGTCCTAAAAAATAAGATAAAATAAAACCTTTTCAGTCTACCTGAGAACTTTTATCTTGTATTAGCTTCTGCTGATGGTCTTTACAAATCTTTTCTTCTAAGTGTTTGATCTTGTCCTGAATTTGAAGACAAGAATGATTAGTCACAATTCAGTTTGCCATGCTGAAGCAGAAGTCTGAAGTAGCTTGCAATTGTCATGTGGGATAACAAAGGAATGTAGCAACTTTTAAAGCCCAGACTGAAAAAAGACTCATGCACATGAAACCGAAGTGGCATTCAGTCAGGTATGCTTTAACAGAAGTAACTTTTGCAAAACTTATTACTATTGATTGTATGCCATAAAATTATATCAAATGACTTTCAGACTGTCATTCCATGGATGCCTACTTCGGCAATTCTCTGAGTAGCAGTAAGTTGAAGACACTCTTTTTCTAGTATTTCAAGCTTTTCAAGTTTTGCATGCAGTTCCAGCCAGTTCTGATCCTCCTCTTTCCGCAGCTGGGCCTGGAAAAAATAAGCAAGAAAGGAGTTGGCAGCTGAGTGAAACTGTTTCAGACAGAAAAAAAAAAATAAAATCCCACACTACAGCAAAGGTGTTTGACTAGTTTAAATGTCATATTTTTTAAATTGAAATGTGATGAAAAATACCAGGCAGACAAAGATGACTTAAGTTTCCAGCAACCTTTTTGTTTACCAAATGTGCAAGTATTAGCATGGTTTCGCTCATTAGGAGTTCCACCCAGGGAGATTTTCATGCAATTCATTGAATGGTTGTCATCAGCCAGTCAGTCAGACAGTAAATTGCTTCTGTTTGCTACCACCCTGAGCAAAGCTGAGGAAAAATGATGGCCATAAAAAAATTCAGATCCTGCACATTTCTATACTTTTGAACTATATAGTTACTTTGTAAGTATGCTAGAAGGCTTCACCTGTTGTTCCAAAATAATTTTCTTTTCCAGTTCCACACTGGAAACCATTTTCTTCATGTAATCCAGCTGTTTCTCCAGCAGGGAGCAGCGGGACTGTGCTGCATTTAACTGCTCACTTGCATCTACAGAGAGAAACAAGACATTTGGTACAGCAAAGGGAGCTACACATTTAGCCAGACTGTAATTTCATTGAGGAGGTCTCTGTTTTCAAAACATGGAAGAAAAGTGTTGTTAGTATGAACCAATCATATGGTTAAAATGTATTTTATATATAAGACATGAGAATCAAAATGTTTTTTCAGAGCTAGTCTCTAATTTGAATTCCAAAGATGTGAGCACTGCAGTTACTTCGATCTGTATCAGCAGATATCTAACCAGAATCTGGTTTCTTCCCTTCTCCTATCTTTTCTCAAGTTAGCAGTGTTATGTAAGCAGCTGCTTGCTTATTGTAAGAGTTAAACATATCACCTGAAATATGCTTAGTCTTTAAATAGCTTCATGGGTTATGCAATACTTCATTAATATATGTAAAAAAATATCTCAACTCGATCCACAATTATCAAGCTCCTATACCTCCCCAGTTTTGAAGCAAAGAATGAAGGGGGGCTGTGTTAATTAGGAGTTTTTCAAAACAAACACTCCTTGGATTATATAGTCTTAGAGCTGCTGTGGCTACACCTTATCACTTAAAAGAAATACCTTTCCTCTGTTGCATCAGTTCTTGATGTGCTGTGTCCTTCTCACAGGATTCATGTTCTAAGGCCTTCTTATACTGAGCAGCTGCTCTGGAGAGGCTGCACAGATCAGCTTCAGCCTGTGACTTCTCCAGCTCTAAACGGTAGATCTTTTCTTGAAGAGTTTTCAGGGCTGCTACTACAGCTAGCAAACAATGCAGCAGTTACATCTTAAGTAACAGTTCCCAATTGTGATGATGATGATGATGATGATTGTTATTAGAAAACACTTCACACTGCAATATAATACCTAAATTTTCTTCCTAGGATCACTCCTAAAATTAATTATATTAATTATTAAATATACTAACATATGCAGAACATATCTGGGAGAAAATGGAGATGTTTCCTGCATAACTGAGGTATAAAACATTGGTCCTATGAGCAAAACTAGTTTCACTCCAAATGGCAGCAAGCACAAAGAAGTCATGACAAATAGAGTATAATAAATCCTGGGACTTCTGTTTACATAGAAGCAGGGAACACAGGTATCCAAGTGAGGTCACAAGTTTTGGTGTAATACAACTGGTCTGCACAGATTAGAAAAAGAAAACATGCTCAGAACGGGGAGAAATCAGATACAAAGAGAAAATTTAGCAATACTTTATTGTTTCAAAAGTTAATGATTTAATACCTAGTTTCTTGTATTTGATGATTCTTTAAACCACAGAAAAAAGATTGCAAGATTTTGCTTTTAGCTTTTTGACAAATCAGTATTTGTCAAAATTACACCGAAAATAAAAGTTGTAATTTCAGCTACAAGAGAAAGTCTACCAACACTCCAAAAAGTATATACACCTGTGGAAGTTTAAGACATGTTCTGTAACAAGTCAAGTTTATTTTCTGACATTTTGTAAGTCCTTATTCCAATTTTCTCATTACAGGAATACCCATCAAATATTGCTAGCTCCTTAACAACTTTCATCAGCTTAAAAAAACCCCAAACCAATAAAACAAAACCAACTTCCCCTGCCACCCCTCCCCCCCCGATAAAAACCAGATACCCAAAAGCATAAAGAGGGACCATCTTTTCCATCTTTCTATTGGTGTGTCAAACATTTCCTTATTTAAACACTTAGCTACGTAACATTACACTGAACATTTTAATGCCAAAATGCCCAAACTCTTCACAACATATGATAACTTCCGAAGTTGCAGATTTTTCAGGTGAAGAACAATGATCACATGCACTATGGGCTATGACTGTAAGTCCAAGGATGAGTATCCTTATCATTCACCAAGCTCTCCAGATATGCTAAGCCCCAAGCATTTGCTTTGTGAGCTCCAGAGAGTAGTCACCCATGAAGGCACACAGCCACCACAGTGGACCCATATCTCATATAGACTAACTTTCATGCCGATAACTTTCCTGAGAGTTTGAATTGTTCAGAAGTTCTCCCAAGGAAACATACCACACAAAAAATTACCTAGAAGTGATTTTAAGCTGGACAGAGTCAAACAGTGCTATGCAAAGCCAATTTCAAGTCATACCATACTGGAGGTACCATACTAATGACCTTTTTTTACTGTATTTAAAGTCATGAACTGCTTCTGCTGAGTTTGAAGCATCCTCCCTTGCTTTTAGAGGAAGTCTGAGAACTTTAAGTTAAACAAATTTCAAAGGCAAAGTTTATAAGGATGTTAAAAGACTTGCAGAGGTTTCCACTCCAGACATATGACTTCAGGGAGACTACTCCCTCAGGACACATATACATCCTGTCTCAATGTCAGCCTGATAATCAAAAAAGCCATTGAACCGAGTAAAACAGAATGGGGAGTTTGCTCAGGAGATTTCACATGGAACAACTAAAAAGACCACTTTAAAGACATATTTTGGCTTTACCCTGGTTATTTGGGATAGAAGGCCTGTCACCAGCAACAGCTGCCAACTTCTTTGATTCTGTATAAGCAAAGGCTGCAGGAAACATCTGATCTGGTGGCTGAAGAAAGCTTCCTATGAAACTGTTCTTTGATTCAGAATCCATAGCCTGTAGAAAGAGAGCTACTTAATAGTATTAGTTCTTTAACAGACTATGTAAGATTTTTCAAAGTATGCCACTGGGCTGTCCCTGGCTGTGTTTATATCAAACCAGATCATGTGCCTAATAATAATAATAATAATAATAATAATAATAATAATAATAATAGCAACAACAAACCCCACCCCCCACACAAATCCTGTATTTTAAAGTGACTCCAAAACAATGCCTTTCATAATGCTAAACACAGCTCTCTTTGACCGCTCAAAATTTTCCAAGATTTTTCTCGGTGGTTTCTAGTAACTTATGCTGATTTTTGTACTTTTAAAACCTAAGTATTAACAGCATTTTCTATTAACTGTTTTACAGACTTCAATGTCTTGCCTCTAAGTGCTCCCTGCAGAGTAAGCATTACAAGTTTTACAGCCTGTTTCCATTTGCAGCCTCCTAAATGCTTTTCTCCCCACCTTTTTGGATGAAAACCCAAATTACACATGGTAAATAATGTCCATTATTACATAATAAAGACACAGTTCTCCACATTTAGTGTTGAAATATCAGAAGGATATTTAATATGCCATAGCCCCAGCATCATCCCCATTATCCCCCAGCATTATCCCCATTATTAGGCATATGTATTAAATCCTGTTTCTCTACTCCATTTCTCCCCTGCCCTTTCACATTCTTTGTTTTATCAGAAGCACATTTGAAGACAGTTCACACCCTGTCAAATAGTGATTTTCCTTGATGCTCAAGACATGGGCAGTGAAACTTGCAGAAAGTGCTTTAGGCTATTACAACCTCTAGGAAGTTAAAGCAAGTTTTAAATCAACCTGTTGCTACCTAGCAAAATAATATCAAGCATTTCACTTGATACAGTGTAAGAAATGAAGAATATACACAGCTTCAGCTAACAGAAAAACAGCTTATTTGAAGGTTCAGTGACACAACAATTATGGTATCAATTGAGTTTAAAATACAAGGCATGCAACTGGAAAAGTCTTCCTGCTTGGGCAAGGCTATTTACAGAGGTTAGTCTCCAAGAGGGTCACCCAAAGGAGGTATCTAGTAACAGGAGGAAGCAACATAAACCAAGACTGGAGCCTGTGGATGACGCAGACTGGGAAAAGCCATTCATACGGGTGGGTGGGGAAAAAAGTTTTCAATAACAGAAAAATTTTCCAGGACCAGCTCTTACAGCACTGTTTCAGAGGCCATATAAAACAAGAGAAAAATCACCCCCCCATCCGTACCATCTCTTCAAGACATGCACTAAACCAAAGGTATGCAGAAGCCCTTTCTTCCTCCTCCAAGCTGCCATCACAGAGATGTTGATATAAGCATCTCTTTGCCAGGGCTTGCTTGATTTGAGGCCTCCTAAAGACCACTACTTTTGTGTGCTAACGCTCCCAAGGCAGACCATACCATTCAGGGTGGGCCCCTTGCCCCGACGTGGGAAGCTATCCAGGCTACCTTTGTACAACAGGCCTTTTCCAAAGAGTTTCCCGTGGGCCATCCCAAGCCCAGGCCACAAGCTGTCAGTGCTGGGCTGGCAGCAGGAGGCAGCCAGGCTCTCCACCATCTCTGGTAAGAAATCCCACCTGGTGACCCTGCCACATTTATGGCCACAAAATCTGCTTATAGGCCTGCACAGCTCTGTCCTGGAAGACCCAGAAAGGCCATGCAGGGACACCTGACTGATTCTAACAGCCTGCCAGGCCTATCAGCCATGTCCAACAACACAAGGGGCAGTGGCAGTGAAGAGCACAAAGCTGGGAGGTGCAGAAACCTCAAAATATGGACGGGAAAGTCCTGCGGCCACAGGGGTGGGCGGGGCCAAGACAGGTGAGGAGATGGTCCTGGCATGGCACAGTACACCAACAGTGTTCCACAAAATAAGAGATAAGCAAGACTGACCAATTTTCCCATTGCTTCTCACCCCCCTACGTGTTGGTGACAAAAATGACTAGTAAAAACGGTCCATAAAAATAAGCATACGCGCATGCAAAAAGTTTCCCATCGCTGCTGTGAACAAAGGAAGGCAACTTTGGAAACACCAGAGGAAGAAGGTGATTTTTGCTCACACAACCCAACCTTGTGGCAGTCAGCGTAAGTGGAGACTCACTTTTCCAACATCCTCTGGTGGAACATGGCTCCCTCACATGCCTGTGCAGCTATGCACCAAGCAGTTCCCTTATTACTTTCACATAAACAAGTTTTGCCGTTTCCAAGGAGATGGATCTGTGGGCAGTTATAAGGAGGGCGGTGATCCAAAGCAAATAATGAATAAGAGAAGGAGGGAATAAAGCACCAGAAAATTTGACAGTTTTGGGACAAGCTCAGCAACATGAAGGTGCAGGAACATGGGGGACACCCACTTGGGAGAAAGGGAAGTAAAAACCCTTTAGTTCTGCAAGTGAAGCCAGAGGAAAATGAAAGAGAAGAGGCCAGCTCACCCAGCTGGTGGTGGTGATCCAGCTAATCCAGTGTGGGCTTCAGCATGAAAACCTGCAACTTTATCAGCACAGCAGAGGGTAACACACACCCTGCAGCTGGAGCGGGGAGATCCCCAGGCTGCTCCGAACAGCACAGGCTCAGCAAAGGGTGTGAAAGAAAACACCACAGGACCGAGACACCTGTGTTTGCAGAAACTCAGCTGCAGGCATAGTTATGGATGCCTTGCTTTACCACAGCTTCCTCAGACGCAGAGGCTGTGTGAAGTAGGCTGAAGTAATGGTTGCTATAGTGCTTGGAGGCTCTGCCAGCATAATTACTCTAGGAGAGGTGCTCTGGTGTTGTTGAGTCCTAATATCTTAGCAGGTAAATATAGCTTATAATGATCACACTGCACAGGAGTAATGCCAACACTGCAGACTTCAGGCAAAGAGATGTGCCAGGAAAAGGACCAAGTCACTCTGCAGCAGCAAGACATCACTAAACACCCTGGCCACTTTCAGCCCATTGCAACAAGAAACCTATCAGGAAATAATTAAGTAGCTTGACGTATGTTTTAACGTCAACTGTCCTACCATCAACTTTTTCCCCAAGTATTTAAGTTTCTATAAAACAGGTTTGCTTTTTAAAAAGTCTAACACAGCCCACATCCATTGTAAGCTTAAACCACTCTTTTATTCCATGCTACCATGGACACTTGCCCTAGAGAGGTGCTTTAAAGCAGATATTCCCAAACAGCGATATTTGTACTAACGTAACTCCACAAGGCTTAGGGGGATCTAGCACTTGAACAATGCTCATTAAAGCAGCCAGAACACCATTGTTTAGACAAGCCCTTCTTTGAGGAAATCAGTGCACTCCTTTGAGTTTGGGGAACAGCCAAGGGAGAAGTATGCATATTAAACAGAGCTTGACAAAATAGAGGGGAGGGGAAGAAGGAAGAAATGCTGCACTCCCACCCCAGCAGCCTGCATTGCTGTGGTAAGCAGGGTGAAGCACTTGTGCTGTGCAGGTCACATCTGGAGTTAGCACCAGCTCTTTGAGTTTTTAAACCAGAACTGGCCCAGCCTGTGTTGGTGGATGCAACAGTGATGCTCAGATACCCAGTGTTATTTTACACAGAAAAACACAAAGTAGCCGGTTCCTACATACTCTGCATCAAGCATAGGGCAAGTTGGTGCTTACGATGGTCTTTCCATTTAACCATCAGCCTGGCCAAGCCATCTATGTTTTTCTCCAAGTCTGAGCCAGGAGGCTCAAAGAGTTCTGTGCCACACGTTTGTAACCCTGTGCATGGTGCGTGATGCCAGGCACAGCAGATTAGCTCTGTGACAGTAAGGCACTAATGCACATGCAGTGTCTACTTCCTACCTTGCTGCAGCCAGCGTACTCATCCCTGGCTGGATGAGCATCCCTCAGTGGGACCACTTCTGCCTGTTGGCTCACCATCCCATGCAGGCTGAGAGCGAGCTTGCACAAGATTGCTGGGGAGCAATCCCGTCATCAGGTCCATACCTGTATATGTGACTGTCATGCCTCAAAGGAGAGCAAGCAAGCTGGAGTTTGGCACCTTAAGACAAACAGGGAATTTCCCATTTCATTTCAGTCATCTAAGCACTAATACAATTTACTTTCATACAGTTTCCACTTAGTTTTGCTGAATGTGGCCTGCATTAAATGCCAGAGTACTAGACTGGGTTGCTGTAAAAATCAATTGACATTTATTGCTGTCTTTCAGCATAACAACATTAGGGAGTTACGGAACACAACTGAAATCCCAAATGTTACAGAAAGATCAGTTATAACTTCTTCATCCCCCTCTTCCTCTTCTTTCTGTTCCTCCCCTGCATTGCTAGCCACATCATTAAAAAAGTTTTTAAAAAATGTCTCCCAAAGTGAAAAGTCCTGAAACATTTTGCCACATACACAATTATGTCCCATACTGTAAAGCAGCATGTGGAAAAGCTTTTTCCACATGTGAACTACAGCAGACTCAGGGAATAATGCTGGTTTAACAGTCTCCCAAAAAATACTAAATGAAAAATGTGATAATGTAAGGAATGTTTCCACTAAATTCTCTGATGTTTGTTATCTCATGAAGACACTGGTTCATTTAAATCACTTGTGAGGGCAACCTTTTAGAACCAAAGAAAGAGGTGCTGTCAGAACACCTTCAAAGGAGAAAAAGAAAAAACAGATCAAAGCATTTTTCAGAAAGAAATACAAAGATATATATCTGATGACCTGACCTACTGGGCATGCAAAATTTATAGTGGTTTTTTTCATAACTGAAAACAAAGTCTCAGATGAACCAAGGAATGATTCACTGTTTATCTGACCTAAGAGAAGTTTTAAGAACTGCCCCAACACAGGCTATACCAAGAAACTCCCAGAATTCTGGCTGCTGCTTTGACTGTTTGAGCCAAGCTTTGCTGGCGAAAGGCTATGTGAGAAACCATTTTCTTGACACAATCCAAATCGGTCTATTTTTCCACCCTTTCCTTTGAGAATCAGGGAAAGCTTGGTCAGCTGTAGTAGCTAGGCTGCAACACTCA